GGAATAGCCGGGAATAGTCCGGAATAGTCGCGAATAGTCCGGAATAGTCGGGAATAGTCCGGAATAGCCGGGAATAGTCCGGAATATCCGGGAATGAATAGCCGGGAATGAATAACTGGGAATGAATAGCCGGGAATAGCTGGGAATGAGTAGCTGGGAATAGCCATGAATAGCCGGGAATGAATAGTCGGGAACAGCTGGGAATAGTCGGGAATGAATAGCTGGGAATGAATAGTTGGAAACAGTCGGAAATAGCCAGGAATAGCTGGGAATAGCCCGGAATGAATAGCCTGGAATGAATAGCTGGGAATGAATAGCTGGGAATAGCCGAGAATAGCCGGGATTAGTCAGGAATAGCCGGGAATGAACCCGGAATGAATAGCTGGGAATGAATAGCTGGGAATAGCCGAGAATAGCCGGGAATAGCCGGGAATGAATAACCAGGAACAACCGGGAATAAATCCGGAATGAATAGCTGGGAATAGTCGGGAATAGCCGGGAATAAATCGGGAATGAATAGCCGGGACCAGGCGGGAGCAGCCGGGAGCAGCAGGGTCTGCCGTGTCTCGCAGGGGCGGTCGCTGCCCGGCTCCAGCAGGCCGGGCTCAGTGCCGTGGCTCTGTTTTGATGCGGGCTGGGTTTGGCACAGAGCAGCACCCGCCCCCTTCTCACCTCTCCCGATCCCTCCTCCCCAGCCCCAATCCCCGGCTCACATTTGCTGGGAAGCAGGGAAGGAAGGAGGAAGGAAGGAAGTCGGTGTGCTGCACATGCATAAATAATACAGCTGAAATCAGGCTTAGTTAAAAATAGATATTCTTCCTAATAAATATTTCACCTACTGTCTTTAGGCTGTAAAGCTCCCCCGACTGAGGTGTTGGAGCAAACCTTGTGGTTGGTCCCTAAATGTCTGAACCAGCCCCGGGTGCGAACAGCGCTGCCCTGGGGAAGGAACGTGGTCACCTGCACACAAACCTGCCCCTCAAACCTCAGGAAAGGTGGCCTGGTGGCCTGTGGGCTCTGAGAGCAGAGCTTTGCATCCAACTGACTCATTTGGTGACCTGTGAGTTTGACTAATGAAATCGGAAGATAAAATCTCTCATGATATTTATGAGCGACATTCTTCTTCCCATATCTTTATTTCTTCCTGCCCAAAAGTGGAATTAGAATTAGATGGCTGAATAAGGCAAAACAAAGGACATTGACAGAAGCTGAGATAGGAGGGTTTTTCATTAAAAAGAGTGACAGGTGGGAGAATGTGTCCAAGTGTGTTTCTGGAAGATAATCCTGCATTTTGGGTTGAGGGCAACGCTCCCTGTGCCCTACCTGACATGATGTTCCCACTCCTCGGATTCCCTGGGAACGAGGGGGTAATTTAGTCTGTGATTCTGCCCAGAACCTGGGGCTGCAGGGTTGGTTTTGCAGGGAAAGGGAGGCTCCTGAGGGCAGCACTGGCACCACATCTGCCCTGGCACAGAGCCTTGGCAGCAGGGAATCGTGGCCAGCAGTGCTGGGAAATAGGAGAGGCTGAATCCCACGGGAACTGTGGGGTGGAGAGCCAGGCTGAGATGCTGGGGAAGTGCTGCCTGTGCCCTGGGAGCAGGGCAGAGCTGATGGCTCCCATCCCACACTGCTGAGCCGAGCCCCCCGTGCCCATCCCCGTGCCCATTCCCGTGCCCATCCCCGTGCCCATCCCCGTGCCCTGGTGAGCCCAGCAGTGGGGTTGGCTGGGCTGGAGGCACCAGGAGCAGCCCAGAGAATCAGGGCAGTGTCTGAGACACCCCTGGAGGGATGGGCAGGATGTGCTGAGGGGATGGTGATGCCTTGAGAGGCTGAGCTGGAGCAGAGGCTGGGCAGAGTGAAAGGAATAAAGCAGGGATTGATGAAAAGCCTTCCAAGGATTCACCTTGGGCAGTACAGAGCCCAAGGTGGGCTCAGAGTCCCGAGTTTCACACTTGGATCACTTTGGGTCCATTCCCACCTTGGCCTTCATTGTCCAATCCCAGCTCCAGGCTCTGCACTCCCATCCTCCCACATTCTCTCCTCCACTCGCTGCTCTTTGCACTTTTTGGGGCTGGAGCTGCAGCGTGTCCTTGGTTGTGGGGCTGGCAAAGGATTGTTCTGTGTGCCTGAGCTGGGAGGAGAGCTGGGAACACTTTGTGTGGAGTTCAGAGTTCTATCCTGGAGCAGGGCACAGTCTGGGAAATAGAAAAGCCAAAACCTTAAGGCGTCACTGGGGGAACACACAGCTCTGCAGGGCTGGCTGGGGACAGGCAGGGGCTGTCCCAGATGTGCTGTGCCCGCTGCCAGCTGTGCCCTTCAAGGGGATTTCTGGTGGCACGTTTGGGCAGGGCTGGTGCCAGGCCTGGCACACGCTGCCCAAAGCTCCAGCAGCCGGATTAGAGCCCATCTGTGCAGCCCTGCACGCTCCAGGGACTGGGATTTGTTCAGGTGGAGCGTTGGGATTGTTTCTTCTGACTCTCCCCGTGGCAGGAGGTTGGAAATAAAACATCTTTAAAGCCCCTTCTCACCCAAAGCATTCCAGAATTCTGTAATTCTCTGCTGTTGAGGAATTCATTAAAGGTTAGCAGAATCACAGCCATGAGCATTTCCTGCAGCCTGGCAGTTCATTCTGCTAACAATCATGCATTTATCATCAGCCATCAGCACCGAGCACCGTGAGGCAACGAATCAGCTACTCAGCAAAGGGAAGGAGGAAAAACAAACCTTGGCCACCCCAAGAAACATCACCCAGCAATCTTCCAATCCATTGTAAAGAAAGGTCTTTGCATTTGGAATATTCCGTGAGTGTAAACACACGGAGAGTATTTATGAAAATTAATGCTTCTGTAAATCAAATCACAGGTGTACTCTTTCATTTCTACTTTGAAATCATTTTTACACGTTCAGGTATTACAACTATGAATGTGCTGGGGCTCGATTACTGCCAGGAGCAAACATTGAGGAACTTCCTTAGAAGCAATATTTGATATTCATTAACCTTCAGTTTAACAGCAAGGAGGATCTGTGCCTGAAATTCTTCACCTGCTTTTCCTCATCCATGGGGTGAACATCAGACACATCTGCTGGGGGCTGTGCCCACTTTCACCATTCCCTGCTCTTTTGCCCCAGAATAAATAAATGACCACACAACACAAAGCGAAGTCCTAGAACGGGCATGGCCGGACTGGTTCGTGTGCCTGGGAGTGTTTGGAACACCAGGACACACCAGCTCGGCATCAGGGATTGGTTTTTAGCCTCATTTATTTCAGGTGAATCTCAGCAGGTCTGGGCAGTTTGTGGGGCTGCTCCAGGGGACAGGGACAGAGTGGCCTGGAGCTGAGGCACACGAGGACATCAGCAGGAATTTGCACATGGAAAGGGCGGTCAGGCTCCGGCAGGGGCTGCCCAGGGAGGTTGGGGCGCCCATCCCTGGAGGTGGCACTCGGTGCTCTGGGCTGGGCCCAGGGTGGGGATGGGGCACAGCTGGGACTCCATGTTCTGGGAGGGCTTTTCCAGCCTCAGGGATTTTGGGATTCTGGGATTCCCGCGCCAGCCCGCGCTGTCCCCATGGCAACGCGCTGTCCCCATGGCAACGCGCCGTCACCAGGGCAGCGCGGCGGAGCGCGCGGCGCGGCATGTCCCGCGCGGCGGCCCGTACCGCGGGGCATTGTGGGCTGGGCAAGATGGCCGCCCCCGTGCCGCGGTGCTGAGCCCAGCCGCGCTCGCCGGGCGCCCCGGGACGCGCGTCCCGTCCGCCGCCGCCCGCCCCCGGAGCGCAGCTCGCCGAGCCGCCCTCGGTCCGACCGTGTGCGAGGGAGCCGCGATGGGCCGGGCGCGGTGCCCGCCGCAGGGAGCGCGGGGCTCGCGGGGGTAGAGGTGCGAGGGAGGCCCCGGGCCCGGTCCGCGCCGGCCCCTCGGTCCTCCCCGGGCCGCGCCACCGAGCCCGGCGGGGGCCGCTGCCTGTGCCAGGTGAAGGCGCTGCGTGCCCCGGGGTCCGTCCTTCCCCGCGCTCCGGGGAGCGCTGCCCTCGCTGCCCTTGCCCCCTGCTCCGCCCTCCGGCCGGAGGGACCCCCGGCCCCGCTGGGTGCCGGGCTGGACATCGCTGCCCACGTGTTGCCCGGCGCTTCCCCGCCCATGGAGTCTGAGATTCTCCAGTCGCCTCTGCTGGGGCTCGGGGAGGAGGATGAGTCCGACCTGACGGACTGGAACTTGCCCCTGGCCTTTATGAAGAAAAGGCACTGCGAGAAGATCGAAGGCTCCAAGTCTTTGGCTCAGAGCTGGAGGATGAAGGACCGGGTAATGCTCCAGGGCAGGATGGGGTTTGGACGAGGAGCAGTCGGGGGACAGGTGCAAAAGGAGTCAGAGCTCAGAGGGTGCCGAGCTGTTGTCACATGAAGCGCTGGATGTGGATCTGATAGTTTGTGTCCCAGGAGCGTGGAATTAGGGAAGCAAAGCTGCAGATGGGTCAGAAGCACAGATTGGATGCTCACGGCACTGGGCCCTGGGAGCAGCTCCCTCATTTCGGCTCTTTAGACGCAACTTGGGTGCTTGGTGTGTTCTAGGCAAGACAGTGAAGAGCTCAGGAGGAGCCCTGGAGCCCAGCAGGTGCATGGACAGTGGGTGCAGGAATTGCAGCAGTCTGCAGGTGCAGCTGCACAGGAGCTGGGTGGCTTTGGAGTGTGGCAGCAGCGTGGTGTGTGTGGAATATAGAGTGAGGGTGTCCCTGCACCTGGAGAAGCAGAGTGTGGATTTTGGAGGCAGGAAATGGATTTCAGATGAAACTCGTTGTGTTACAGCAGGAGCTCCTGGTGTGTTTGGGGACGTGTTGGGTGTTAAACTGAGGGTGACAGAGGAACGTCCCAGCTGGGAGTCTGGGATCCTCTGCTGCATCTGTGTGCCACCTTAAATGTCTCGGTAAACAGCAAACAAAGCACCTGAGAAATGTCCTGGACCATCACCTCCATTCCTTCTGTCCTTGGAACCTGCTTTGGGTTCCAGCCTTCCCTGGCTCTCACAGTTCTTGTACTCATGACTTGGTGTTTATAGATATTTTTAGGTTTTTCTGGTGGCCAGATTTCCGTTATGTTTATGATTCTCTTGTAATAGGATGGAATAACTTATGGAAACTCCAGGCTGTCGTTTCTTTGCAGGGGCCATATGCCCAGGCTGTCCCTGAGCCTCAGTGTTGCCAGACTGGTGATTTTACTTCTCAGAAGTTCTGAACCATGAGGAGAGCCACGTACTGGAAATGGGACTTGGCAGATCATGGCTGGGTTGAAGGGAACGTTTTGGGTGTGATTTAAAGGCAGCACAGACACCACGCTGGGTGCTCTGCTCCAAAGGCTTCTGGCACAGAGGAGACTTTCTCCAGGAGGCTGTGGAGGTGTGATGAGCTTGCTGCTCTATTTTAGGTGCCTCTGCCTCCCTGGGATGCTTCCTGCTCCCTCATTCCTGATCTGCAGAGTTGCCTGTTTCTAATTTGGGAATGACTTTGCCTTGGTTGGGCAGATCAATAGGCTGTGCAGCAGCAGCACAGGTTCAGGTGGGTGATCAGGGGTTCTCTGTGCTTGGTGTGAAATGTTTCACACCATCAGGGAACATCCCAGCCCAGCTCCCATTGCCTGGGTCCCATGGAGCTGCAGCCTCCTCCTCTGGGACTCTCCCGTGCCAGAAATGTCGTGGCTGTTGCTGCTGCTGCTCTCTGGGGACGAGCTCGGTGGGGCTGGGCCCTGGCTCACTCTCCAACATACTGAATCTGACTCTTCAGAAAGAAGAAAACAGAAGCAAATCTCGAATTTTTGGTTTAGTCCTTCTGCTTCCTCTGCCAGCTGGAGGCAGATAACGTCATAGCAGGGCCAGTGGTGCAGCTCAGGTGTCGTTTGTGTCTGGGCAGCTGCACCAGGGCTCGTTTGGACAAACTTGCTGCTGTGTATAAATTACCTTTTGTTTAAGAACAGGTGCATAGGAAGATACCAAAAGCACGTAAAGACACCTGAGGGAGGAAGAGCAGCTGATTCGAGAATGTTCAACCTCATTACTTTTAAATCTCAACAGCTATTTCTCGTGTCTTGTATTTTATTCTCTTTTTTAGCTGTCACTGGCTGTCTCCTGAGTGCTTAATGTGAGGTGGCAAAGGCAGAAGCTCAGCTGGGGAGGGAAGGGGATGAGATGGGGTTTGAAATGCTGCAGGGGTGATGGCTGGTAAATATTTCCACCCAGTGAGCTCGAGTTCAGCTAATCCTGCAAAACGGTTCATGGAGTCTAATCTGGTTTGACCTCGTGTGTGTGAGCAGCTCGCTCGTGCTGCTGTTTGTTTTCCCATGGCCCTGCTGGGGTGTGGCAGCTTTGTCCAGGGAATGGAGCACCTGGAGAACAGCCCAGGAATTTGGGTTTTGTGGGGTTTTCTGTGGAGCAGTGGTGCCGTGAGGGCAGTGACCTGGCAGCCTGTGCCATCAGGGTGAAAGCTGAGGGGCTGTTGTTTTTTTCCCCCCCTTTTTGTTCCTGGCGTAATAAATTAATGACTTCTTGTTTTAGGTGTCTTCAGGAAGTTTCTTCTCTCCCTCTTTCCTTGCCTTCCAGCACTGTCCCCCAGTGCTGCTGCAGCCCTGTCAGTGCCCAGAGCCCCCGGGCTCCCTCTGCTCCTCCAGCCCGGCCCCGTGTGAGGCTCTGCCCCCTCCCCACTTCTCTGCGGCTTCCTTTGTCTCGTGGCTGCCTTTCCCACAGCCAGGGCTGATGGTTGGAGGTGTGCCCTTGTGTTTGGGCTGCTGCTGCAGGGGATGTGCCTCTGGCCGTGAGCTGAGCGTGGAGAACATTCCAGTACCTGCAGTTTGATAAATGAACTTGTCACAGCCCAGCTTGGGGACCATTCGCTGTCACTAAACACCGCAGCCTGTCTCTAAGTGAAGAAGTGCTCAAAGGTCAGCCCAGACGAGGCTCTGGCAGTCCCAGTGCAGGTGAAGCTCTGGCATTTCCCCCGTGAATCACGGCAGCCCCAAGCAGTGGCACATTCTGCCTTATTCATCGAGGAGTCATGGGGAGTGATCCCAGCTCTACTACAGCGAGAGGAAGTGATTCACAGATTTGGGAGTGCAATGACTCTTCTTTTCATCTTGCTTTGTTGCTCTAAAAACCCCAGAGTTTATGTGAAGTTGAAGGTTCTTTAGAAGGCAGAGCTCTGATAAAGGGGAGAATCAAATCAGAGTAATGAGCAGTAAATGTAGAGAAAAGAAGTGAGAATTCACTGGTGTCCCCCGCCCCTTCCTCCACCAGGGCTGCTCTGAAAACATTTAATCCTTCCTCTCCCCCTTCCATGGACTGCATATGCCATCAAAGTGACACTGCTTTGATCTATTATTTATTTAAAGAATATTTTTAACACGAGAGGGTTGGAATTATGCTTTGTGTATTGAATTAAATCTCCCAGCCTCAGTAGCAACCAAAGCATATAACTTGATTTAAAGAAAAAGACTCCAAGTACACCAGGTTTTACTGACAAGTTGCTATTAAATTCAGAATATTTAAATTAAGATTTGCTGTATTTATATTGATTTCTAAGATAAGCAGAGAGCAACAAAGCTGATGGTAATAGTTTTACCTCAACATTTTTTTTTCCTGCTGCCTCATAACTTGCTGAGTGAGAATTAAATCCTGTTTTTATGAGAAGAAGAATCCACAATTAGGTTTCTCTGGAAATGCAGATTAGAGCAGGACTGCATACAAATGTGTTTAATTCAGATGAGCAGAGTTTACCTGCCTGCACAGGAACCCATGGAAGTGTGCAAGGCCCGTGGGCTGGGTGGATATTTTGGGGAGCTGGGCTGTGGTTTGTCTCAGAGCTGGGCTGTGGGTTTGTCTCAGAGTTGAACTGTGGGTTTGTCTCAGAGTTGAACTGTGGGTTTGTCTCAGAGCTGGGCTGTGGGTTTGTCTCAGAGCTGAGCTGTGGGTTTGTCTCAGAGCTGAGCTGTGGGTTTGTCTCAGAGCTGCTGTGGATTTCTCTCACATCTGCTGTTCACTGGCTCTGTGCTGTGCTCACCTTCTCCCCTGGCCTGTCCAGAGGTGACTGAGGGGTTATTGATCCCTGTGGAACTTTCAGTGGCACTGCCAGCTCTGATAAACCCATGGATGTTTGTCTTGCACCTCTGTTCTTGTCTGGAGAGCTCTGTAGATCTTGCAGTGGATTATCAGTGAACTCCTGGAGCCCGGGTTTGTGTCAGTGACACCCTCGGTGCCAGGGCTGTGCTGGGTGCCAGGCTCAGGGGCTCAGGGGTTCCTTTGCCTCTCCTTGTCCCACAGGCTCTGCCAGCAGCACCCTCGGCAGCATTTTTATTTCTGTGTTTGTATTTATCGATCAGTCCCTGCTGAGCTGGGACACGGTGACCTCCAGCTCTTGTTGGGTAGGGGTGGAGCAGAGGGTCTTAGTGTAAGTGTGTAATTAGTGCCGTGCCCAGAGGAGGAGGCTGTGCATGGAGCCCTGTGTGGGTGTTCTGCAGGGTTTGCTGGGGGCTGGCAGAGCTCAGGAGCTTTGTGCCCTGCTGGAAGCCCTGGCAGGGATGGGGGGCTCAGCCTGGGCAGCCCTCTGTGCCTTCAGCACAGCCTGGCTCTCCAGGTGAGTCCATGGCTTGTCCTGCTGGTCTCTCCTGCCCTGCTGGAGCTGGGGAAGGCTCCTGGAGCAGGGGCTCATTTCCATGAGCAGCACTTGGCTGTGGCTCAGGGATTCCTGCAGCTCCTGCTCAATCCGAGTGCATCCCGAAATTCTGACTCGTGGAACATCTGAGGGGGCTGTCCGGGAATGCTTTGAAGGAACAGTTTGTGAGGAAGATGGGAAGCTGTCAGTGCCTGGGAAGATGGAGACCTTTTAAAGGCAGTGCCAGGCAGGAGTGGGAATGCCTTGGAGCCACGAGGAGCCTGCAGGAATGCAAAGCAGAGGCCAGGAGGAAAAGCCTTGTCAAGAGAAATGAGGAATGACATCTGGAACACGCCTCTTGTTGGTTCTTTTGCAGGTTGTATAAAGAAAGCAAAGATCATAGGAGTAAAATGTTTGCTTTCTATTATTTTCACTATTTTGAAGGGGTGATTGACAGGGAAGGAAACCCCATTTTGGCTCTAAGCATCCCAGAGTGGTTGGGAAGCAATGGCAGACAGCATCAGCCTGCTCCAGTCTGAACCTGGAGCACAGGGGGTGACGCCGTGGGTCACCCTGGATCTCTGGTGGCCACAGCAGTGATGTCACTGCTGTCACTCCCAGGGCAGGGCACGGGGTGGCCCCAGGAGCTCAGGAGGTGTTGGAAGTGTTGGAAGTGTTTGAGGGCAGCAGCTCAGCTCGGGCTGGGCTGTGTGAGGACCTGGAGCCGTGTGTAGGAAAGCTCTGAAGGAAATTCAGAGTATTAGTGCTGAATTCAGAGGCCAGAGAAGGAAGCCAAGCCCTCAGGAGGAGGTGATCGAGGAATCTAGAGCAGGCTGGCACACCAGGACCTGACTCTGGGCTGCAGATGGCTGGAGACAACCTGCAGAGCTGTTGAATTATTAATTTTGACTTGAAGGAGTTCTTTGCATTCTACTGCTTTTCTTGCTGTGGAGAAGCACACAGAGATTTTTTTTTCCCCCCGTAACAATTTATTTATCTTAAACTTTACATTAAAAAAAACCCCCAAACCCTTGAAACTGAAAGCTCATTTTTTCAGAAGCTTTACCTTGCAATGGTGCAGGAGCTGAAGGGAGCTCTGTTCCCCTGGCTGGGATATTTGGGAATCACTCCTTGTGTTGGTTTGGTGTGCAGGGGAAGGTCAGGGCTTTGTTTGCTTTGTTTGCCTGTTCAATACCTTCAGCCTTTTCCCTGGCTGCTCTCAGACCTGCATTCCCCAGTGGAAGGTGGTGCCAGAGCCCCGGGGATGCTGCAGGACAGATGTCACCACTTGTCACCTGTCTGGGCTGCGAGCCCAAAGGGAAGGAGCAAACAGGAACTCGTGGTGTTGCAGAGTGAACTGAAGTCAAGAACAATGTTTCCTCCTGTGCTGTTCCTCAGGGAGGAGCACCTCGCTGCTGGGGACGAGATCTGTGTTCAGTCTGGAAATGTGTCTAGAGAAAAAGGTGGAAAAAAGCCTTGGAGATGGGAATGAATTTCCTGCACAAGGAGGAAATTGAGCCTCCTGGTCAGGGAGGGTTCTCAAATGAGACTCATTTGAGGATTTGGAATTTGGAAATTTGTCCCAGTATCTGTGTTTAATGCTGATAACTTCATCCTCAACTCTGTAAAATAATGTAGCTGCATATATTTCATGTTTAATGCTGACTTAATCTTGTGTTTGTATTAACTCCCAGAAGCAATTTGAACTCACTGGCATAAACCCAGGCAGGTTTCTAACACTTGAGTGTTCATCTGGGTAATGTTGAAGCAAAAGTTTTCAGCTTGCAAATTGCAGTGTAAAAATCAAATATTAATGGGGTTTAAAACGTCCAGTCTGAGCTGTACCACAAAATGCAAAATTTCCCATAAATGCACTGACTTGTTCTTGGTATTACTTGAAGTAGAATATAAAGCAGCTCTATGGCTCTGAGTTACAAACCTGCTCTCACTCAGGCTGGAATAAATGAGAGTCTTGGTTTCTGCCTGGCCTGGAGTCACTTTCAGGGATGCTCAGTGGGATCAGGTGAGCTCCCTGGGATGATAAAACTTCACATTTTCAATCAAACCCAGAACATAATGGGTTTTTTTTCCTAGCTGAAAATACCTGCAGATATTGCACTGTACTCACCTGCAGATCTGTTTGGCCTCTAAATGAAATAAGAGGTGAATTAGGAATATTTTAAAAGGTCTTTAGCATAAGATGTAAATTTTAGTGTCAAATGCTTTAATAAGCAGCTTCTCTTCCAAGCAGACACTGAGCTCCCCCTGCTCCCTGAGTCCCATTTCCCGTGGCTTTGGGATGAGTTCTCTGCCATCACTTCTCAGGAAGAGCATTTTCACCAAGTGGGTTTTGCCATTTAAGTATTGCAGGTTCTGACCCAGAGTTATTAAATCACTTTAAATCGGGTGCAGTACAAGCCTGGGAGTTGTATCCCATTTTTTAACATACAAATGACACTCCAAAGTGCAGAGCCCACACTAAGAGCTGCTGTGCTTTGATCTCCAGCAGCCTTTGCTGACAGAGCATTTTGGATATTGGGTTTTCTTACAAACTTGCCAAATGTTCTTCTGCTTCATTCTTTAATTCTAACAAAAATCCACGGAAATGTATTCTGATGGATATCCTCCTGAAATGGGGAAAAGAAAATTTCCACTGTCCTAATGACAGATGAGAATGTCCTCGTGCTGCTTGCATTAAGGACCTTTAAATATGCAGTGAAGTTTCTGGTGTGCTCCAGAAGAGTTTAGAAATGAGAAATTACTGGGGTTTTTGGGCTCAGGGTTTGTTTTTTTGTTTTTTTTTTTTTTGATCAGTCACATGCATTGTCCCCCAAACCCCCCCGGGCTGGGCTGAGCCCCACTGTGGGCAGCAGGGCAGGGGGGATCGTGCCCCTGTGCCCCCCAGGTGAGCCCCACCTGCAGAGCTGCCCCAGCACAGCAGGGACCTGGAGCTGCTGCACAGAGGCCAGAGGAGGCTCCAGGATGGGCAGGGCATGGAGCAGCTCTGCTGGGAGGAAAGGCTGGCACAGCTGGCATTGCTCACCTGCACTGGAGGAGCTCTGGGGGGAGCTCAGGACCAGGGCCTTGCAGGGCCTGGAAGAGCTGACAAGAAACGTGGAGAGAGACAATTCCCAAGGGATGGGGGGACAGCACACAGGGAATGAGGATGGATGGGATATTGGGGAAAAAATCCTCCCTGTGAGGAGTGGTCAGAGGGGAGAGGGATGAGCTGCAGCTCTCAGATGTGCTCCCTGTTAGCAGAACAAATGTGTGCAGTGCCAGGCCTTCCATCCTTTGGGGGAGGTGGCAGAGGGGAAATCACCCCATTTGTCTCTGGGATCAGCTCCTGCTCCTCTCGAGGGTTTGCTGTCAGTTTTCCAGCAGAAACACTTATTTAAAACCCCAGACCTGGGAATGGAAAATAAATATCAGCCTGTTCAGCATGAGCCACCGATCAGTTGTTACCAGCAAAATACTGAAAAATAAGTCAGTATTAGACTGCAAATGGGAAACAATAAATAAATGAGGTGGAGAAGATTGCTTGGCAGGATACTTTCTCTTGGAAGAATGATTAATGTGTTTCCATGTCTAATAAGTCATTTTGTGTGTAGTTTTCTGTGTTTCCCTGGGGTGCTCAGTGTGTGTGGCAGCGTGGGATGGTTCTGGCAGTGTCTGTGTCCTTGCACACCCTGCAGCTCCCTGAGGAGCTGGCAGTGCCTGGGGCACCTCGGAGGTGTCCCCGTGGGCAGGGCAGGGCTTGTGCAGTGTCTTGGGCTGCTGGGTTTGGGTGGGTTTGGTTTATTTTGGGTGATTTTGGGTGGGTTTGGGTGGTCCAGAACACTCAGAGCTGCTCAGGACTGGCTGCCCCTTGCAGCTGGCCCTGGTTGTGTCCCTGACTCTGCTTTTCCTGTGCACGTCCCTGACTGTGACAGATTCTCTGAGTGCTGACCTGCAGCTCTGGGCTCTGCACCCATCCCTGAGCACTCCGGGCAATTTCACACCTGGCAAATCCTGGCCAGGGAATTCCTGTTCTGGCTCCTCTTCTCTTCTCTGTGCTGTTTAGTCCTGGTAATTCGTGCCACGAGGAATCCCCCAGGATTGCAGGGTTTGTCTGCAGGACCATGAGTTGGGATGAAGCCACAAACCAGGGTTCTTGCTGATTTTTATTCCACGTTCCCCATCATGGCCACGGGAGTGAGGAAACGCTGCAGGATTTGTGTCCTGCTGTACAGCCTGTGAATGGTGTCTGGCTGCTCCAGTTTCTGGATAAATTACACATTTATGTGGCTCTAGGGTTTTCCCTAAGTGTGAAATTTGGGCTTTTTTTTCCCCCCTGCTGTTGTGGATTGCAGGGAGCACCCTGGGGAGGTGGGGATGTGGGTGGCCTTGCTGCAGGCAGTGGAATCACTGAGAGCCTCTCACTGCTTCTGTTTTCTTCCTCTGGCATCACGGAGTCTGGAAAAAAAACCCATAAAGATGTGAAATGTTAATTTTCAAGCAGTATTTTTAGCTGGCCAAGGTGGTTTGTCATTGGTTTAAGGCAGTTTTGGTGAGGTTTGGGTTGGGTACATTTCTGCTGCCTGGGCAGTGCCAGGATTTCTCCTTGCAGGGCTCTCCAAGAAAACCCAACACGTGAAGAAAACAAAATAAAAAATGCACTAAATAGATTTGTTTTGGCATATGTTTGTTTGTTTAATTTTTTCATGGCTCTGTTTGTCACTTGGGGGTTTTTCCATTGTAATTCTTTTAGTTTCAGTGTTAGAGATCACACACTGCATTATAATTTTGATCAGGGCCCCTGAATAGCATTGCCTCATGTTTTTATAATGTGTTTCAGTTGGACAATGGCTAATTTAAGATAAGTAGCAGAAGTTCACTGGCACCCATTTCCATGCTCAGAAAGAGAAGAATGGGCTCTGGAAATAACAACAAAAATAGTAACATGGAGCCTAAGTACTGTTCTAATAAAAAATATGAAAAATTTCATCACTCAGGCCTTGCTTAAAATAGTCCACGTGGGAGAGGTTGGTTAAACCCTGCCCAAGTCTGGGGCTGTGAATTTTGGAGGCCAGTGCTGCTCGTGGCCTCAGCTGTGCCCTTGCCTGTCTTTGCAGATGAAGACTGTGAGTGTTGCCTTAGTTTTGTGCCTCAACGTCGGCGTGGACCCTCCTGATGTGGTGAAAACAACTCCCTGTGCCCGCCTGGAGTGCTGGATTGGTGAGTCCCTGGTGCCACAGCCCAAAATTCATGCCAGGGCTTGGACCTGAGCAGGAAAGCTGGCATCTGATTTTTCCTGGGTTAATGGAGAGTCCAGCTCCTGCTGCTGCTGGGCTCTGAAATGAGATCCCATGGAGAAAAAAAAACAGCTGCTAATTGCTTTCTTGTAATTATTTTAGATTTGGAAATGTCTCTGAGCAGAGCCACCTTCAGAAGCTTTCAGTGCCCCTTGTCTGCCTCAGCCAGCAGAGCAGGGAGGTTTGTCAAACACCTTGCTGTGTTTGGAGGTGGCTGCTCCAGGGCTGTTTTAATTGGAATCAGTCAGAAGATCTGGAATTATTCCCAAGGATGTCTTGCCAGCAATTCCAACACCTGGGTTTGCTACTTTCGTGCAGCATTGCACTGAATTCTTATTTATTTTTGTGAAGAAATTCAAAGTTCCCTTGGTTTTGGAGAAAAAAAGTCTAATTATCAAGATGAGACCAATCTGAAATAATATTAGAAGGAAATACCTTGTGGACAGAGGCTTTCTCAGAGAGATCTGATTTTTTATCTAGGAATTGGGAATGCTCAGCCTCCAGCACATCCCACACTGGGCACTGCAATCCTCAGCTCAGGGCTTCCACAGGCCCCAGGAGCAAATTAATCACTGCACAAACAGAGTTTCTCGACAAACTTTGAGCAGACTTTCTAACCTTGCCCGGCCTGCTTTGTGAGTCACAGCATCTCGGGATTTTCACGTGGAGGGGCCGAGGAGAGCCCCGGGAGCAGCCCTGGGGTCACTGACACACGGGCACAGGAGCTCTGCAGTCATTTCCATCGAGTCATTAGTGCCTGGCATTAGCAAAGAGAATGCTGAATGCAGTTCTCTAATTCGATTTTCAGTCTGTTTATGTGCACGAGTGCTCCTTCCACTCCCAGCCAACTTGAAATTTCTGACCGGGGTAATTGGGGAAATAGTTGATGTTTTTCAGGAGCAGGGAGGGGGAGCAGTGGTGTCCGTGCCACATGTGCAGGCTCTGGGCACCTCTGGGGTGCTGCTGTTGTCACCTGAGCCGGGGTCACAGCTGGCCACCCCTGGTGACAAATGGCCACTGAGCAGAGCCACGTGCAGGCCCTGCTGCACCTTCCACGTGCTTTTATTCATGAAAGAAAAATAACTTTCCAAATCCTGCTTGCATCCTGCTTTATTGCATTTCGTTTCTAACAAAAGTGTGTTTGCAAAAAAACTGGAAAAAAAAACCCCAACCTTCATTGATCTAGTTTAGTGCTTTTAAAATAATTGATATTAAATAGGAAAATATTAGCTTGTAGGGTTTTTTTTTTTAAGAAAACTTGTTAATTGTTTAATTATATGTCCATGGTGTTTGAATAAAGCACATGGCCTGGAATTGTATTGCTATGTATGGATTGTGGTAATTATCTAGCAATAAAATTAACTTCTTAAATATTACAAATAGCACACAATCTCTGCTGCAGGAAGCAAAGAAAGTAAATGAAGCAGGATTTTGCATTCATCAACAGAAAATGTTTGTCATCAAATATTTAACCAATTTGAGTTCTTGTCATTATTTACAATAGAAACCTTATTTCATTATTAAAAGAAACAAATGCAATGCCTCTCTTGTCTTTGGAAAGAAAATTGTGTTCAGCACCTCAGTGAGAGAAATCTTCCCCATTTGTCAGGCTGGGATGGAACGGGATCCTTGCTGGACTGAAGAATTTGGGGATAATCTTTGGGTGCTGCCCCCAGGTCAATTCCACAAGGTGTTAATGAGATAATGAAGTAATGAATGGAGCCACGTTAATGAGGAGCTGAGGAATCTTTGTGTGTGTTCTGTCCCCAGATCCTCTGTCCATGGGGCCTCAGAAGGCTCTGGAGACCATCGGGGCCAACCTGCAGAAGCAGTATGAGAACTGGCAGCCCAGGGTGAGTCTGGGGGTTCCTGGGGCTCCCCCCGAGCCTCCTGCTCGGCTTTTCCTGGGGGGGGGGGGTTTATGTCTTGCAGTGTTGGTGGCAGAGATTCGTGTAGAGAATTTCCCCCTGTGTTTTTTTTCCCCCCGTGGCACACTGACAATTTTTATATCTCAACAGCCCAAGAATTTAGCAGAAAATTCAGAAAGTGCCTGAAATCAAACAGGACAAAAAGCATCTTGGAGCAGAGGTGAAAACAAAGCGTTTCCTGTGCTCTGTGTCAGTGCTGGTTTGGAGAGGAGGGACAGGACAGGAGCAGCAGGGTCCCTGCCTGGGCCTGGTGGAGGCAATCCCAGAGCTGGGCTGGTTCCTGCAGGAAATCACAGCCCCTGACACATTGCAAAGCCAAACACGTCCTGGTTTATTGCACTCCACAGGGCTCTGGAGCTTTCTGCAGTAATAAAGAGAAGTTGGTGTGCCATCTGCAATAAAACAATAGGAACATTATTGAATTTCCTACAGCTTTCATATAAATACTAATACATCCCGTTTTGTCTGTTTCTTGGGGGCTTGGAATGGTTGAGGAGTGGATGGAAGGAAAGCAATTTGGGGAAAACCAGTCTGGAAAAAAGAACAAATCATGACAATCTTGTGAAATAGCCAATATTCCCGGGCTGTCAGTGCCTTCCTGCAGGAGCTGCTGTCACCAGCACCTTGTTGGCAATGAATTGGTGCTAATTGCTGGTGGCAGTGGTGACCACGGTGTGACCAGTCCTGTGCCACCACTGCCAGCCAATCCTTGGCTGCTTCTGTTCAAACATCCCCTTTTTGCTCAATACAAACAGCTTTTCTGAAAGAAAACCATCCAAGGGGTAAAGCATGAAAATTCCTTGTTTCTGGAAGCTCCCAGGCTGCACAGCTGATGGATATTTCCTTCCAGGTCTTATTGAGCCCCTTTCTAAATAATTTATCAGCTTGCCATTGCTTGAAGTATTTGTTCTGATTAAATTTAAGACTTTGCTTTATTGTTGTGTAGCTACATAAATTTGTGTGCTGCGGGAGTAAAAACCACTTCAGCTGTTGTTTCCTCTGCAAAATCCTGCAGTTAAGCAATATTCAGTCATTTCATGCAGTTCTCAGATGAAGATTGTACTGGGAGAGAGGGTAGGAGATGACAGAGCTGTGGGCTCGATCTGTCTTGATAAAGAGTTCTTGCAATTCAGTGCAGATAAAATTGAGGTGCTGGGGGAAAAGAGGAAGGAGAACCAAGACAGCTCTACACCAACAGTCCCTTGGGTCTGGGGCTTCAGTTTTGCTGGGCAGGGAAGGGGTTAAAGGTGAGGGTAATCTGGAAGGAGGTTTAATTAATTAATCAGAGGGGCTGCTTAAGCAGCTGAGAACGGTAGGAGAAAAGGGAGGGAAAGTGGAGAGCACAGGACCTGGTAATGCCTGACTGGAGGGGAAAACCTTCCCTGGGAATGTGCAGCTGTGGGGTGGGAATGGCTGGAGGAGCTGGGTGGAACTGGGGCTCACTGGTGGCAGAGTTGGGATCCCCAGGATCCCAAAGGGAGCCTTTGGCTGACGCAGAATTGCCCCGAATAAAATCCTTGGAGTTTCTGTGGGAGGTTGCTTGGTATTTGAAGCCTTTAGGTAAGGAATGGATGGTGTTGGACTGGGATTTCTGTGCTGCTGACCCCATTCTGCACCCCCTGCCTGTGTGAGGTGCAGCCAGAGCGTGGCTGTGCAACATTTCCCTGTGGTTGGGGTGTAAATTCAGGTTTTTGGCAGCGGTGCAAGTCGTGCCACTGCAAAGGCAGGGACTGGCCTTTGGGAACAGGGCTGATGGACTGTGAGCTGCGAGTGCTGCTGCAGGGGATGCCTTGTGGAGGTGCAGGAGCTCTGGGGACTTTGATGAGCACGAGTTCCTGCTGTGCCAGCCCCAGCCTGCCTGGGGAGGATGGGGGTTCTGCTGGCTGGGCTCTGGGAGCCCCTGAGCAGAGCCTGTGCCATGAGCTCCCAGTGGAACTGCTGCCTGCCCTCGGGGGGTGCCAGGCTTGCTTGCCTGGTTCTCCTGTGTCCTTCCCTGGCTGCCAGCCCTGTGCCCTGTGCAGTGCAGGAGGGGCTGGCCTTGCCTGAGGCAGGGTTTGCATCATTCAGGGCCTGGTATGAAGTGGTCTGGAGCATATGCCTATTAAATCTGCATGAAATTAGAGATTTTTCTTTTCCCCTCTTTGTTAGGTCTGGCTTTTGCCCAGGTTCTCCCTGTAAGTCCAAACTGACCAGAACACTCACAGGAGTTTTTCCTTCCTTCACTCAATCATTTTGAAGCTTCTGTTGGGATTGTCCTGCTGCACAGGTCTCAGTGACACTCCTGCAGCAGCTGCTTTTTGCAATCCTGTCCTTTATTCCCTGATGAGCCTCCCCAGCCCTGCCAGGAAAGCCAAAACCCACAGCTCGTATAACCACTCCTAGGAGAGGAGAGGAGGATGCAGCCCCAGCCCCTGCTGAGCTGCTGCCCTGGGATCTTTTGCAGAGGTTTTCCAGCTGAGGGGCAGTTCTGTGGGATGTGGCCTTTTACATCCTGGCAGTGATTTGTCAGCACCACTCCCCTCCTGCCCTTCCGGGGCTCCTGCACCAGCCAGGCCAAGGGGCTGAGCCCAGAGAATCCTCCCCTCACACCCACTTGCCTACATAAAACGGAGTCAATTACAGTATTGATTTTTTAATTCAAGTGCTACAATTTTGCTTCCCTTTTTCTCCTCTCAATTTCCTCCTTTTTTTTTTTTTTTTTTTTTTTTGCTAAGAGAGTCATTTGGGCTGTTTTAATTCTCTCCTGGAATGAGTTGATTTCATTAGAGCTGAATGGATTATACCTGAACAGGCATCCCTGGGGTGAAGCAGAACTGTGAGCCATGAAGGAGGAGGGTTGAAAATCCTGGATGAGGAAATCCAGAAGACAAGATTAAATAAACTTTTAGGAAGCCTTTGGGAAGGCTTGAAAGCAAGTGGTGGTGTGTGGGAATGCCATGGGCCCTGGAGCTGTTGTGCTGTTCCCTGGGCAGGGTGGAAGGGAAGGGTTTCCCCATTTCCCTCTGATCCAATCTCACCTGTTGTGGGCTCTGAGGACACATCTCCCACAAGATGGATAAATTATCTCTTTTGTGGCAGGCCTTCAAGGAAACAGTGATTTTTTTCTGATCAAACAGGCTGCTTCTCCCTCTCTCCTAGTCTGCTTCCCAACAGTTTGCTCCTGATTTCAAAGGAAGTACAGCCAAGGTACTTGAAATGGATCATTGAAAGGCTCTGCCTTTCAGTGCGTGTTGTCTGTTGTTGATGCTGTTGTTCCCCTCATTAGAGATCTCTGGGCTTTGATTCCTTGTCTGAGGTTTCATTCCTTCATTGCTTTTTTCTGCCTAATTAATTGGGAAGTTGCTGCTGCACATCAAAGGGGGAGCATTTCCTAAAGAGTAACTACTTAAGCATGAAAACTAATTGAACACATGACCTAATTATTGGTCTCTCAGTGAGTCATACTTTTCCTTTATTTCTGTAGGGTTTTTCTTTTAAAACAACAGCAAATACTAATTGCTCCTGCAGAAGAAATACTGTGGAATTCCAAAGGGGGACATGGAAAAACTGGTGCTTGGTCTCCAGTAGGAGATACCTGCAGATTTAGGAGCATGTAAGAATAAAATTAATAAGGAAAAAAAAAAAAACGAACAACAAAAAGACAGTGTGACCTTGTTTAACAAAACCAGGTTTTCCTTGGAGGACTATGTTTGTTGGTTTTCATTTCCCAACAGCCTCTTGAATTTGGCAGCTATTTCAGGCTCTGCAAAATTCTGCTGTATCAATCCTTTGCTGTCTTGTTAAAGATCAACTGTCTTCAGCATAAACCAGCAGGTTTTGTTTTTTTTTTTCCAAGGGGGGGGGAAAAAAAAAAAGTCTGCCATAGAAGTGGAGTCAACAAGTCTAATTGTGAAAGCCAGTTCTTGCTGTTGTCCTCCTGTGTGAAAAGCTGTGGTGGTCAGAGTGTCACTGCTGAACACAGCTCTGGAAGCCCTGGCCATTGAAAAGCACAGAATTCAACGTGGTAAAGGATAAACCCACTCTGCAATGCCTTGGGAATATGGAGAAAATGAGGAGAAATGAGTCAGTGGTTGTGGTTTTCTCTTTGGAGGTTCTCCAGGATCCCAAGCCTGCCTCAGCCATGGCCTGGCTGGGGAGAGCAGAGCCCAGGGCTGGCTCAGAGCAGCCCCAAAGACACCAGGACAGAGCAGGGCAGCTGGAAACCTTCACTGGGCACCTCCTGGGAGCTGCTGCACCTGGAAAGGCTCCTGGAGCAGGATAACTGGGGATTTGGGAATTGAGTGTGCAAGGGGGGAGCTCTGGGCACAACTCAGGTTTTAATGCTTTGGACAGAGAGGAAAAAAAACCCTGATAAATCTTTAACACACCACTGCAAGTGGGAACTGTGAAATTGCAGCAGCACTGCACTCAATACTGGTTTCTCTGAGATTCTCCTGGAAAAATGAGTCACAAAAAGGCAAAGAATGGCTGCAGGCATGAAGTGCTGTGGGGAAGTGTGGTGAGAAGCTGCAGGGAGCAGGCAGGGGCACGGAGCAGGGGCTGCCATTCTGGAGCTGAGTCAACAAACTTGCAAAGTCAGTTTAGTGGGAAAATCCTGAGATGCTGTGGGTCCTGGCACTGCTGCAGGGCTGGAGTTCAGTGGCAGGGTGTGCTGGAAGGAAGGATCAGCCAGCAGCTGAGCTCCTGTTCAGAGCCCTTGCCTTCCCTTCCACACTGCTGACAGGAGCTTCATTTCACAGGTTTTATTCTTCAGGTCTCTCTTTGGTTCGTGCTCTGCCATCAGAATGGGGCCAGAATTGGCAGGGAGCAAGATTTGTGTTTTTGAGGGTCTTTTCCTGTGGCCATTGATGTTGGCTTGTCAGAGATGGGAAGGAAGAGCTGAAAGGAAAAGGCTCTGGGAGAGAAAAGCAGCTCTGCCTGGCAAA